CTCTTGCCACCAACCATGGTGTCAGGTGTGGCAGGGCTAGTGACTTTTGCTTTCTTTGGCTTCACAGCCTCATCCTTGCCATCATTGCCACGTTTCTTGCCTTCCTTAGCAGCGCTGGCTTCCTCTTTCTTCTCCTTCTTCTCATCTTCCTTTTTCTTTGACCTTTTCTTCTCAGCCTGCTTCACATCCTTCTTCTCCTTTCCGCTTTCCTTGGCTTCCTTCTTCTCTTTCTTCTCTTTTGCACTTTCCTTCGCTTCCTTCTTCTCTTTCTTCTCCTTTCGGCTTTCCTTGACTTCCTTGTGTTCCTTCTTCTCTTCGCCATCCTTTTTTGAGCTTCCCTTGCCTTCCTTATCCTTCTTCTGCTTCTGGGTTTTCTCCTTCTTCTCTTTTTGTTTCTCTTCCTCTTTCACCTCCTGGATCTTCTGCTGCGCTTGAGCCTTTCCTTGCTTCTTGCTCTGAGTCTTTTCAACCTCCTTGTCTTTTCCTGTCTTTTCCTCCTTCTTAGCCTGCTTCTGTTTCTTCGTGTCTTTCTCCTCAGGCTTGTCTTTGGCGTCTTTCCCCTTTTGATCAGTCTGTTTCTTTGTTTTTGATTCCTTGGCATGCATCCGGATATCTTTGGTCAGTTTCTTAGCCAAGGCATCTTTCCCTGTAGGCTTCCTCAGAGCAGAAGGCCTGTTCCCCGGTTCAGGCGCAGGTCCTTTACCGCCTTTACCCACCATCCGTCGCAAAGGGACAGCTGGCATGCTAAGAATGGTTGGGGAACACAAAACGGCTCATGAGAAGGAAAAGAATGTAATGAGGACTGTCAATTCAAACCCCAACTTTCCATGTTCTTTGGACAAAGAGTTCAAAACTGTCCCCATGAAAAGTGCCCCACTGCTCTAGATCTACAAGGCGCATGTATTCTCGGCTTTGCGCACGTTCTTCGCTACAAAGCGCACTAGTGGATTTCCGATGGTTTCATGAAAAAAACACCACTGCGATGCACTTTGCAAGAACACGCCGTGCAGGCCGATGAGCGCCTGCCTTTTCAAGAAGAGGCGTGGAGCCATAGCCTGTGGGCAGTGGATCCATGGTTGGCAGCAACAGTATTGTAGAATGACATCACCCCTGTTTCCAAACCAGATGTCCGAGATATCCTTTCTGGCAAAACTTCCACGAAGACATGAAGAGCTGATACACACTTTTTGTGGATAGCTTCTAAAGCAAAAGGTCAAAATAGGATTCCTCGAGCAGTCCACATTAGTTTCCAAAGATCTGTTGGGGTTGCAGCTGAAACTCTTCTTTTTGCTTTGCGTGGCAGTGTGTTGAAAGATCCCCTAACACAGCAATGCCCGATCAAGATTGAAGCAGAACCCCTTTGGAGTCTTATTTACTTCTCGGACAGAAAGTCCAAAACGGGCTTCAGGTCAGCCCCTTTCATGAAATCAGAATTGATTTTGACCCTTCGGTCAAAAGTGCCCGTTGTCTTCTTGGCAGCCCGGAGGAACCGGAAAGCTTGTTTCTGAACAGTCTTCATGTTCCGAGTCCTGCATTTTGCAAGGGCGTTGCCAAACCTTAGAACAGAGATTCATCAGGGTTGGAATGCTTGAGTGTCACATCTCTGACCCCGAAACACAGATTTCAACCACACGCTTTTATTTTTCTCTCTTTGCTTATCTTCCATTGGGGTCCAAGAAGCCCAGCCGGATATGATTGGCTTTGCTTGAGGTCTTTTCCTCCTTGCACTCGGTGTTCACCGGCGCCGTTGACGTAGCGGCGCACCATGTCTTTCTGCGCAAGGCGCTCGGGGACTTTGTACTCCAGGATGTCGTCAATGCATTGATGGCCTGAGAACCACTCCAGAATACCCCCCGAAGCCATTAGACTATAGTACCTTTTTGAGACATCAAAACATGACCCGTGGCAAAAGGTTACAAGTCTTCGCTTGCTCGGCTTGAAAACGCATCAAAGGCACTCGCATAGAGGATGGTAGGCTTTTTTGTGGGCGCTCCAAATTCAGACATGCGGAATCTCAGGGACCGGACTCTGAGTAGCCTGACCATGTACTGAAACAATGGGTGCCACTCCATGCATGACGTCTGCGGTTGTTCTAGGCACCAGAATATGCCTTTGGCAGCGCAGAGTATCATTAAGACCAGGGTGCGGCCGCACAGAATGTTGCCCTGTCGGACGCATTCGCTGTCGTTTCTTCCAAGAGGATTGGTCCGGCTGCGAAGGGTTGATCCTCTTGACCTTTGCTGACTCAAGCGGTGCACCTAAACATGGAATCCTACTTTGCTAACACTTCCACACCAGAAAGCCCTCGCAAGTTTCCCCGGGAAAGTGTATGGCTTGGGTTCTTCGTCATGTCTTTCAAGCTTCCTGGTGCCTTTTGGGGGAGATGGTTTCAAGCTACCAACAAGCCCATGAAACATGGACCATTGAATCACCGAGCTGCAGGAAGACCCAAGACGAACAGACCGGCGCTGACAGTGCTCCACTGCCGGGCTCCAAGTTGAGCGTCCAAAACAAGGCGTTTGCAAACCCGGAGTCAGAGAGCAAATCCATAGTCTCTGGGCTGTAAGTGATGTCAAAGGGCACAGCGCTACGTCCCTCCTATAGGGACAACGTACAAAAAGGGGTTGAAGAGTAATACAAGCAAAGCGTTCAATCTTTTCACCTGCTACTTCTAGGACACACTTCACCACCTTTTCTGAACCCGACCCCTGTCCAGCCATTCGTGCTTGGTCACTTCCATGGTCCCCGAGAAGGTTTCAAGGTGCTTGATTGGCTTCTCCCAAGGAAGCCCCGGCAAAGCGAAAAGCAAAGACACAAGGGTCGCCAACACCTTGGGCCAAACAAGACAGGAAAAAAGAGGACATGACAACCCACACTTAGAATAATAGCTGGACACGTAAACTATATATATACAGTGTATTAAAAAAAATATATATTTATGTCCAAACCTTTGCTCAATAACATGCAAATCACAAGAGGTGCCCCCAAATGCTTCACGCCTGAAAGAACCCACTGACGCTGCTTGTCCTTCATAGTGAGCAGGCTTCGGGTCTTAGGCGATGGAGTAAAAGGCATCTTCTTGATTGCTTTTTTCAAACGGTCGTTCGACTGTCGTTTAGTCATCGTCTTCCCCTTCGCAGTCTTCCCCATTGCTCTCAGGAAGTCGCTTGAAAGCTCAACTGGAGACCGTTTGAGGCCACGGGCTGATGCTGTGGAGCAGCGCAGGGCTTTTCAAAAGCTAGCCGATTACCACGATAAGAAAAACTAGAAAGCACAGCTGAAGAAGAACAAATTTTGTTCAAAGAGCTTCAAAGGAGCAATCTCTGAAGAAGGATCCGCGTTTCCTCAAGTTTTTTTCTGACAAAGAACTTCATCCACCCTGAAAGACCCAGAGAGAAACGCCTCTGCGCAGCTGGAAGCTCCTGCAGGTCTCGGCAAAGTACCTGGATATGGACGAGGCGAAGCTTTCCGATGGTTTATTTTTTGGGTTCTTGGATTGGCCTGTGTTTTGGACAATGGATTGAAGCGAGGCCTTGAGGTCATTAGAAAGACGTGCGATACCCTGCTTTATTGAGATGAAGGTAATTTTTCTTATGGAAACCTTCATGAAAAGATGCTCAATGTGGAGGTTCTCTTTCCATGGGTGAATTCTCTTATTTGGAAACTCTACGAAAAGAAAGCTGAAACAATGCACCTGACGACACAGGTCAGATGAGCAGTGCATGGGTGGCCAGAGTGACATCGCACTTCAGGCGTGATTGTTTTTTCTCGCGCGTGATCAAAAGCTCCAGGCTTTTAGCCCCCACCACAAAGCTAGAGCTTCTGGCAAAAGTTTGCCATGAAGCCGTTTGTGAAAACCCCTTGGACCTGCATGAATGGAAAGGTTGCAATCCATGGTGTGTTCCCATGACCCTTCCGCAGCTAACCTAAAATATAAGTCTGCAGTGCTCCTGGTCTACTGCAGTACAAAAATCTACCTACACAAAGTAGGCCCTCTTCTTTGCTACCTCCCATGCCTTTGCTGGGCCATCGAACTTGGACCAAGTGACCTGGCCAGACTTCAAAGTAGAAAACTCTGGACCTTCACCTCCAGCCACAGTTCCGCATCTCTTCACCACGTATGCTTCAGCCACCACAAGCACTTCGATAGCCTTGTCGGTTGAAGGGCTGTCCACATGTTAAAGATATATACGGTATAGGTTGGAAGGACATATGCAAAAGGGCATCGTGAAAAACAAGCCTAGGAGCCTAAAACATTTTTTTTGAATATCAAGGAACGGCACCCGTAGGTGAAGTCACCGTGTATCCCTTCTTGCCCTTATACTCCTTGTTGGCAAGCGGTCGAGCTTCCAGTGGCACGCCAAGTTTCACCAAGTCAAAGCCGTTGAACTCGTTCAAAAAGCCACCAGGCTTCTTGACCTTCGTTGGTTTTGTCTAGACAAGTGAAAAAGATTCAAGTCTTTCATTCCCTTTAGCGTGAAACCTGCCCACTTCAAAGGGAACGCACATCACCAGACAGGGGACTGACTGGTTTGTCACTACTTTGAAGGGTGTCTCCAAAGCGTTGGCCACCTGATCAGCAAAGCGAGGCTTCTTCAATGACTGCTTCGGCGTGGTCAAGGCATCTTCGTCGGGTGGCAGCACCTCTTCGAGGTTCATGTAAGCAAGGGCTCGCTTCAGAGGCTTCACCTGGTCAGCTTGTGTGAGTGTTGGCTAGTTCATACTCATGGTTTCAAGTCTGGAGAGATCGGTCATGGTTGGGTACGCCTATTTTGGGAAGCTTTGGTGCTCACATCTTTTTCACCCGTGAACCGTGGGAGGCCTCTGCGCTCCCTCTGCTCTTCACCGACGCCGATGGGGAAGGAGACGATTTCGGCGTTGACGTCGTTGTGGTCTGCAGGGAGTCGAAGGTTGGAACATGTTGGGGCCTGCTGTATATTTGCAACTCATATGACTCGTGTGAGACATGTTGTTGCAGGGGAATATATATATATATATATATAAACTAAAGTTTAAAACCAACACCACACCTCAGACTTCTGCGTGCCCAACCATGAGCAGAACTGGCGATAAGTGCTCAGCTGCGAAACCATGTGGAAACCACAGGCTTCAATGATATGATGACACCACCCAAGGTAGTCCCCAAACATCGAATGTTCAGAGATCTCAGGCTCCTCTTTGCAAAGCGAAATCCTGATGTCCTGCAGGGCTCTTGCAATCTAAGCGCTTAATCGAAGCGACAATTGTCACACAGGAAAGAACATTGTTTAGGAACCTTGAAGGGCCCACTGCTTTTGAAAAAACTCACATGGAATCCCTGACATGTGTTGACCGCATGTATGAAAGCTCCAAGCTCCTGCACCGCTTTCCGAACCCTGCTTTGCTGAGTGAGAGGCCTCCCAGGCAACACTAAAGTCTTCTGGCTGTCTGATGGACT